TGTCAAAGACTGATGGATCTATTGGTAACCCCAGTGTGGAGTTTTATTGTTTTCAGTGTATGCAAGGACATGTTGAAAGCTGGGAGCCCAACCCGCGAATGACAGCTGCATCTCCTGAGTTACAGCCACCCTTTTACGTACCTCCAAATTTGGCATCAATTACAGGGGCACTCCTTATAAGCTTGCAACATTAAGCATGTTTGTAGTTCTGAGAAAGAAACATTTACGAGCTGCCCAATGTCAGATTGCATCCCTGCGGGTGAAGGGAGGAGACCGACTAGAAAACCAGCACCGCTGCATTGATCAGACTCACCTGACACTGTTCCTTGGCTCTCTGCCCCAATTTTCAACCCTGCAGCTGAGAGAGGAAAATCCCACAGCTGAAAATGGTATCGGATTTGTAGATGAGCCTGGGAAAGGGATTCTGCAAGGTGAGACTGCTCCAGCTCCGTCATGATGGATGGGCTTGTGCACAGACAGATCCTCAGTTGAGCTGAGATCTGACCTCTGCGTGGACCTTTCAGAGGCATTTAAGCTGCTCCCCTAAAACCGCACAGTTTGAGGTTTACGTTTGATTAATGCCACTGTTTTGGCATGCCAAAGCCCGGAGTGCTCCCTCAGGATTACCTTAACTTCTTTGTATTCTTGTTAAGTTCCTTCAAGTCAGCCCACTACCACTTGATTAATCCCTGAAGAGACATTATGATGTCAAGATATTATCCAAGAAGACACATGGCAAAATAAAACTAACTAAGAACAAGTAGGGAAAGGAGCTGTAGGAGAGTAAGGTGGCATCAAAATCTCCTGAGATCAGCGGGTTGGCGTTTTACTGTGAAGCAACCTGGCACAGAGGGGGAAAAAATGGTTTGTGCCATCTAATTGTTTTGTGTTGCAGCTATGAAATGGCCCATACACACAAAGTTGGAACCCAAAGGCAAACTGACTGACCATCCGGCAAGGGGATGGGGGAAGGGGTGGGGTTAAGTGAGTGATTGCGAGCTGAGATGGTGGTGGGGTGAACTGCCAGGTAAAAAGAACAGGCTAAAAGTCCTATTTGCAGGTTGCCACTTCAGACACCGGGATGGAAGCTACAGAGATATCCAGGACCTCAGGACAGACTAGGTTTCACTAAAAACCGAAAAGCGCACTTAAACCAAGAGAGATTTCTTCAAACACCAGGGAACACTGGTTTGATTACCATGGATAGTGAGACAATCTGGTTAAGAATGGAGTTCCTGCAGATGGTGAAGAAACTAGTTCTAAATGAGCAAAGATCCATTCTTCGCATTAATAAGTTCCTTCGTCCTTCTCGTTCACCGTTACTTCCCAGTCTGAAGTTTCTGTCTGTCTGTTTTTTTCTGCAGCCTGGTATCTTCCAGATATTCCAACAATGATCTCATCCATAATTATCCATTTCATTCGCCAGTAAAGAAACAGTCCCAGCATGTTTCACTTTTTTTTTCTCCATTTTATTCCAGGTTGAACCTAGATGTCTCCTCTTTAACTCATTCGGATTCATCATCTTATTCCAAGCCTTACTTAAGAATTTGGAAAGTTCAGTTAACTTCTTCAATATGTCAACAACTTTTCCCTGTTCTCAGGTGCCTTAACAGATGTCAAATAATTGCCAGTTATCAGCAGGCTGCCCTTTTGGTGTTGGAACATCTTCACCATTGAGCTTCGGTCTCCCTGCAAAGCTTTCATAGTAAAATGTTGTGATCGCAAAACTTAAAGTGAAGTGAAGCCAACAAATCTGAAAATTTCCCCCAACTATGGCCAAGCTCATCCACTGAGCCAATGTTGCTGTGTCTTTTGGGAAGTCGAAAAGGGTCAAGATTCGCTCAAGACAAAGAGCGCATTTTCTTGAGGACGTCTCTGAAATAAAAAAGGGAAAAAAAGTCAATAACCTCTCCCTGGCATCTTTTGGATAATGAATAATATGCAAGTTCTACCTTCTGAGAAGACCTCCCCCAATTTCCACCTGTCACTTGTTTTGAAATGTAAGTAGAGAGGTAGTCATCTTAACACTTCAAATAATCCGGAAATGTGGGGGAAAATACATAAAATTCGATTTTAAAAAGTGTCAAGTTAATATATTTCACTATCCAATCGTGTTGATGAAGCCAAGCCAACAGGATTTTGAATTTTCCTATTTCAACAAGAATTTGTTCCTGACACATATCCATCCATCTATTTTCTGTATCACTTATTCCTAAAGGCTGACCTGTATGTACAGTTCTATTTTGCTACTTGCTTTGTAGTAAGTCCTTATTTCTAAGGGAAGGTATGACTTCCAGGCTTCTCATTATCATATATCAAGTGGCAGCATGTTTATCCTCACAGCTCTGAGGATTAAAAAGTGCCACACTCTGCTTGTATTGAAATCCTGTAAGCACCACTACTTTCAGAGGGAGAAGGGTTGGCATTACTCTGCGTGCTGGAAGTTAGACCTATGATGATTAATTTTTTTTTTTTTAGCAGATAACACAGCCTTATCGACACATCTATGGATGAGTTGATATTGGTCTAAAATAAATCCATTTATTCTCATTTTATGTACAAGTCCTCCCGGTCTGTTTCAGGGATTCCATGTCAGATGTTACAGTTGGTGAATTTGTGTTCTTGTAAGGAAAAAGGGGGATGCGAATCAGTTGAAATTACTAACCCCTAACCAATTACACACAAAGAGCCAACTGATAGTAGATGTGTGTGATACTGGGCTTTCAGATGACAACATACTAGGTGACTTTTGGAGGGAAATAATGGCAGAGGACTCTTAGAACCCTTTACCAACATAATAGCTGGCTTTTTAGTGAGATAGTCCCATGTTTCCATGTTGGCCTGCTATGTTTTCTCAGTTTTTTCTTCCTCTATTTTTAAACACATGGATATTAATTTGACAGTTAGATCCAAATCACTGGAAAAAGTTTACCCAACACATCCTGAAGCGTGGCACATTAGACTGACAGATTAATTGAAATAGTCCCTGCAGCTATCGCCCGGCTGACTCAACAGCGCATGTCACATTTACTCCTGCCAGTCTCAGCAACCCACTACCCTCAAGACAGCAGCCACAGGGAAATGCACCGTCAGCTCTGAGCCCTGGGTGTCTGCGTAAAATCGCCCAACATTCTCTCCTCCACACACCGCCAAGTCATAACTGTTGCTCGTTTGTTGTGGTCGAGCTAATTAAATTGCTTTGGCTTCTGTTTTCAGTTACTGCAGACGGAGAGAGACAGAAGGAGGAATGGTTTGGTCTGAGGCCAACTCGTTTGTTGAAAATACCAGGTGATTATTTTTCCCAGAATCGTTTACACATATCTTAGAATTGAATCTGAAATGCCACCAAGTGAGTGACAGGCTTATGTAAGTAACCTCCGAAAACCGGGGAAGTTACAGCAAAATGAGATAAAGCTCCAAAAGGTCTTCCAGTCAAAAAAAACATATCGTCGGTTCTTCCTCTGGATTGACTGATTGATTACCAGTTCCCTCTTTTGTTTTCAGTGTAGGATTCATTTGGAAATCACACTTTGTTATCTCCTGCGACATGCTGGTTAAATCTGACAGTTGTACATGACGGCATATTAACTCCAGAAGTTCTTTTTTGTTGGTTGCGTGTGCGAGAGAGAAATAGGGAACCTTCTGAGTTCCCATTGCCATTAATGAGCTGACAGAAACGAAGACGGGGAGATTTCTGTAATCATTATCCTACAGGGCTCTGTTTCAGACCCATCGTGTCACGTCATCTGATTGTTGGGATGAATGGTGTTTGGTTTGAGCCGAAGGAGTGACGAGCGTGTGTGCTGCCCTGTCCTTTGTGATCTTTGACTTAAGCGGGGGAAGCTAATACTAGAACTATGCTACCACTTAGTGGTGGAGCTTATTATAATTATTCCCCTATTTTATCTCTGTATGTGATCACTGTGACACTGAATAAAGTCAGAATTTATGCCCTACGCTATTTATTTTTTTCAAACACAAAAGCTTAAAGAACTTGTGCCAAATATAAGTGTGGGGCCTCATTTTTAAACAGGGCAGCAAGACTCTGACAGTTTTTGTATGTGTGTGTGTCTGTGTTTTGGATCCACTCTTTCTTTTCTTTTTTCTTTTTCTCTCTATTGAGGCCAAAAGGTGTAATTACAGCTGAGGCACAGCAGAGGAAGCTATTGGTCATGAATTATCCATCTATCCATCCATCCATTGTCATTACGGCTTATTCCCTAATGGTCATTAATTGATCCAACTCCATATCAACTCTACATAAAACTGGCGCAAGCACTGAGATGTGACACGTTTTGTATGTAGAGCTTGCTTCTAGAAAATAGTTCTGTTCATTATACCTTCACTTAAGTGGACGCATACATATTCAACATTGTGCGTTGATTAACTTTTCCCGTCTTCAGTGCAACTTCACAAACATTATTTTTCCTTCTGGCTTACAAACTGTAAATGGGGAATACGATTCTAAATTTAACCCCTGAGAAGTAGGTGTGGAAGTTAGAGGGGGGGGGGAAACCCTGAGTGGCTCTGAGCCGTTTCCTTTTGTGTGCCACAATTAGCTGCGTTTGTCCTTGATTATAGTCAAAATATGTTTTGTCCTAACTTCCTAACTGTCTCCCATTCACGCTGGACTGACAGACTTGAGATTTAAAACCCTGCATTAATGAAACTCCATAAATAAAAACCCTTTCCATACCAAGTGGGCCTCGTAATTTCTATTTGTTGGGATCTGAAATGGGTAATGAATCGGGGGAAGATCTTATTCTCATACATTTCTCTTTAGAAATCTGTAATCTATCTTTTTTCCATTCTTTTTTTGTCATTGACCCTGTAAATTGGAATGTTATGCATACCGTGTGCTGAGGAAAGTCACCTTGTTTAAAAGGGCATTGTTTACTCACAGACGAACAAAGTGAGACTGACCAAGGCTATAAAGCATTGTTTTCCTCATGGAAAAACTAAAAAAGAAACCTGTTTACCATCATGAAACAAATGCACTCATAAATCATTGTGAGTTTTACAAGTCAAACCATAATTGTTTTATTACAAAGATCCACAGAGAAACTTGCTTATTTTGTGAGCATTTTAATTTAGTAAAACTAGATACATTGATTAACGGTTAAGTAACAAATGTTCAATAAAATAATGTAGCTACTGTGTATAAAATAACTGTACAAATGGACTGTGGAAACTGTGATTACAGAAAATGCTATTCAGTATGCCAACAAACACACAAATGCATATTAAAAAAGAAAGAAACCCTCTACTGATTCAGTTATCTAAAAATTCCAGATGCCATTTCCTGCAATAGAGGAAGTGGATTGTGCCTGAGGAAGGGGGCGCGTCCTCCCGTTTGGGATCCTCAGACATGACGCCGTTCCTCAGGCCGGCCACAGAGAGCTGCTACACAAACTTATCATACAACTTTCTTTTTATTTCCTCTGCTCGCTTCTCAGATTCTCTCCCGTGCGACGTCCCAACACACAGCCTTTCCTATTTGCGTGTTTTCATTTTTGTCCCGGACCGCCACACCGGTGGAAACCAAACCATGACACTGTACAGTGAGAAGACCCAGGGGTCAAGCCGTTGGGAATGTGCGGGGTCAGACGGGCGGGGTGCTGTAGCGGATCTCTGTTTTGAACTTTTCGGGCGTCTTGGGCAGCGGAGGCTTCTTCAGCATGGTGTGCTTCATGATCACCTCCTCGTTGGCATAGATCGGGGTGTCTGTGTCATCAGAGTGGTACCCCGACTGGTACCCGCTCGTCTGATTGGATGACTCCGAAGCAACAGACTCTTTGCTCTTGCAGCGCCGCAGTTGACTGTCGGTAAAATCAGATGGGAGGGGGGGGATACAGTTTAATGTAAAGTTTTACACGACAAGAAACGTGCTAAATGCTGAGGCTTATTGCTCACCTGAAGTTCGGTGTGGTTTGCATCTGTTGATGTAAGTGCTTTCCCTCCTCTGAAGAGAAACACATCCCACTGTCTGTGTGCCCCTCCTGAAGAAGGACCCACACATCATCACATAAACATGGCTGCTGCACAGCTGAGAGACGTCAGGGCTCATCCACAGCTGCTAATCTGCATCACATTTCTTTTTTGTAAAGTAGTATCTAAATGATCCTTATCGGGTCCCGCCGCAGTCATCGTGTATATCGGTTCAGTATCCAGGTGTGTACACATTAAGATATTCTTTGAAAATGTTGTACCTTCTGAAAGGAATTATTTTTGTTACAAAATGTGCTAATGTTTTAGATATCTGTTTCAACTGGCAAGTAAATGCAATGGGTGAAAAAGTAGATCTTATATAGGTTGACACTATTTGTGACGCAGACCTACGCTGACACTGAAGCCTATGTGAGATAAGCACCAGAACCCTAGCAAAGATAAAA